TCTTTTTTAGTAGCATCTATATCAACACCTTGCATGATGGTATTCTTCAGATAAAGGTTTTGGGAACCACTATCTTAGAGTCAGTAACAACACCCCAAAATCTCACAGCTAGAATAGTAGAGTTACAATGGATCTGCATATCCGCACAGTGTACACACACTCTCATCACCTTGAGAGTGTAGATATTTCCTTCTGACCAATGTTAGTTGGACAGATATTCTATGATTCAAGTAGGAAAGTTCCTGTGTCTTTTATTTATGTATGTATGTATCTGTCTATTTATTTATTTATTTTGGTGGCACTGGGGTTTGAACTCAGAGCCTCACGCTTGCTAGTCAAGCACTCATCACTTGAGCTACTCCTCCAGCCTTGGAAAGTTCCTATTTCTAGTAGTTCCTCATCCTCTATGACATTCTTAAAATGTGAACATGGTACCTAACATTAGTTTGGCTTAGCTCATTCACATGTATAACTGCAAGAGGAAAGATGTATTATTCAGCCATAAGAAAATCCTATTCACAGGTCCATTAAGGTATGTAGCTCAGTGGTACATCCTAGCATGTGCAAGACCCTGGGTTCAATCTTCAGCAGAAAAGAAAGGAAGGGGGTGAGAGAGGAAGGGAAGACAAAAGAAAAAAAAAGGACCGTTAGCTTACTAGTCTTTCGTCTTGAACTCATTTATCTTCTAGGACCACTCAAAAGGTACAAATAAAACTTGGGGGAGCTTTTTACATTACTTTAACAAGTGACCAAGATGTAGTCATTTGAGTTCATTACCATATCATGCATCATTTCCCATCATTAATAAATAACTCCTCGCAAATGATGAAAGACTTTCTGCTGTGTGTCAAGCATCTGCACCTGCATACGCAGTGAGGTAGCTACTAGTCACATTAAATTTAAATCTGTTAAAGTTCGATAAAATTTAAAACTCAGGTCCTCAGGTCACAGTAGCCACCTTTAAAGTACTTAGTGGACACATGTGATTAGTGGCTACCATATTGGACAGCACAATTACTGACATATCTATTACTACAGAAAATAATAATTGAATGATGCTGGAGATGCTAACACAAATGGCTAGCACAGAAAGTTATCTGTCTTTCTCATGCACTGCTACCTTGTCCACAGCCACAGTCCTAAATTAATGTCCACATTTGACTTGTCAAGCTCAGTGTTTCCAAAAATCATAGCTAGTGCATACCCTTTAGAGTCCTCTTTAGTAGTAACTTAGAGGTATCCTAAAACAACTCTAGAAGATATACCATATCAAATTCCCAAGGTATCCTGTCAAGTTATTTTCCTGCTAGGTTAAGGAGAACATCAGGACCATAATGATACTTAGGATTATCTACTTCAGCCAGGTAAAGCTCCCTTCTTTTCCCTTACCAAATCAGCTTTAAGTTTAAGGGTTCCTAATAACTTAGAATCTCAGTTGCCATTAGACATCCTGATGACTACAAATATGTTACCAAACAAGGGACCATAACTCTTTCCAAGACAGTCATCGAGATATGATTTTGGACCGGACTCCAGTGGCTCACACCTGTAATCCTAGCTACTCAGGAGGTAGAGATGAAGAGGATCTTGTTCGAAGCCAACCCAACCCCAGGCAAATAGTTCACGAAAATCTATCTCAAAAATACCCAACACAAAAAGGGCTGATGGAGTGGCCCAAGTGGTAGAGAGCCTGCCTAGCAAATGTGAGGACCTGAGTTCAAACCCTAGTACCTCCAAAAAAAAAGGTAATGATTTTGAAGGTGAACAAACTAGAGGGAATTAATAGTGTTATAAGACCACTGGGCAGTTAGTTATGCATTGTATGTACATCAAAAGATGGGCTAAAACCCCTAAAGACTGGGAAAATTAAGAAGCTAGTCCATCTCTTCCATATATTGAAACTATATATAACCCTAACTTGTCAGAAGGCTCACACTTCTTTAGAAGTCCCAAGAAAGGAGACATTTGCCTAGAACATCCTTACAGTAGCAAGTCTTAAATTCTTGTGCCTATAATCCCAGTACTTGGGAAGTGGAGGCAAAAGGATCTGGGCTACTTAAGGGAACCTGCCCGCCACCAAAAAAAAAAAAATTTCAAATTTCACATGTATTTTTTCTTCCTTCTCTTTAGTAATATGCCTATGTTTTCTGTCATTCTATATTTTCTGAACACTGTTGTTTCACATATTCTTTAAAGTGTCATATGTTGAATAACCAACCCTAGTACACATTTCTATCCCAATATAAATACTGAAACAAGGGCATGTTACCACTGTTTCTACCTCCTACACTTAACTAAATAGCTGGAAATTGCTTACATAATCTTAAGGGCTACATAGAATTACAGTTTTAAATATCTGATTCCGTCTCCCTTAGAAAATGTTTGTTCCTGATTTTTCCGTTCTCCAGAGACTTAAAATTTTACTCCAGCAGACAAACCTCCTAGGTGATTCCCTCCTAGAGTAGTTAAATACAACTAGTATTAAAAGCCAGTCATCCTGGTTTTTAATATGTCATTGATAAAACACCCCATATTTAGGTGAGATAGTCCACATGTATTTCCACAGGAGAAGAAGACTTCCCCCTTCCTCAACTTACATCTTCTAGCCAGGCTAGAAAAACCCACCGGTATCTCCTCAGCTACAAAGCAAGCCACACATTTGTTGAGGCAAGATGGCCTCTGCTGTCCAGTGTCAAAGCCACTCAAGGACCGAAACAGTCTAATCATCAGGGCATCTCTCTGCTTTTCCTGCACTTTGGAGATATGGCATCAAGCCCATAAAACTGCTCCCATGACTGTCCGTATCACCTGGGCCTTACTGCAATATCTTACTGGTCCAACTTGCTCACTCTTTAACAGTTAGGGGAAGCCGTAGAGTCCAGTCCTTGGAGAAAGTCCACATTCAACATCTAGTGGTCAACAGTAACCCCAACGGATAGAAGCCAGATTTCTCATGTAAGAAAACAACCCAGAATTAGTTGTATGAATGTTGTCTTCCTTAAGACAGTGCCTGACACAGAGTAAGCACAATTTGCTATAATTTATTACCAGCATCACTTATGGAAGCATAGTAGCAAAAGTTGATTTATCTTTAAAAGAAAAAAAAACTTGCAAGGTGATAGGAAACCCTATTACATTTTGGGAGAGTTGCATTTTTTAAAACTCATTTTGAGTTTTGGCAAAAGATAGGCATTTTTTAAAGCAAATAGCCATTCAATTTGACAGAGAGGGAAGCTGGAGATAACATTTGTTATCATTAATGATTCCTATGGCCTCTATCCCCATTCTTCCGTAACCTTTACATCTATAGTTGGAAGGAAAATAAGGAAACAAAAGATTGGAGAGTTAATTATTTTTATCAGAACGATAAGGAAATAATTGATTTATGTGAATATATGAGATAATGATTCACTTTGAACCACATTTTTTTTTTCAAGTAAGCCATTATCATCAAGTATTGCTTGGTTACCCACTGGGGTATGGGAAAGTTTGCTGTATGAAAATTTATAACTATAAAACCTTTATGTAATCTGTTGATGTGGTAATCACTTCCTAAATTGAAAGAATAGATTTAAAAGATTATGCGGTAAAAGAATTCCTGAACACTGACATGATATATTGGACCTGGTGGGGGGATAAAGAGACCTTAGGCTTTTCAGCTCAAATAATTAACAAGCTGTGGGATTATTAATAAATAAAGGGTATCTGGTTAAAGGGGAAGCTTTTGGAGGAATGATGAAGTGTGTTTCAGATACAGCTCTCACAGTGGTGTGAGGTATATTAAATCTTAGAACGACATTAGAAGGTTGAGAAATCTGCTTTGCATGAATTGAGTTTGAGGTGTTGGTGAGGTGATTAGAGATAAGGTGACGATGCAGATTGTTTTTGAGCCACCTGTGCTAACATTGTCTTAGTAACCTCAGTATAGTGCTGACTCGATCTCCCTCCCCCACTCCATTATTAGATTTATACCTGGCTCTCTTCTCATAGGCTAGAGTCTTGATTCTTTATTTCTTCCTTGCTTTTTTTTTTTTTTTTTTCCTTTTGTGGTATTGGGGTTTGAACGCCATGGCTCATATTTGCCAGGCAGGCGCTCTACCATAAGCATCTCAATTCTTAATCCTGGCCACCAGGAATAATAGTTTTTTATGTCTACGTCTTTGTGCCTTTTTAAGGAAAACATACCTGGATTTCTTAGTGCCTTATTAAAATATCAGTATAAAATGTAAGCTGTGTATTTGTAAAAGTAAATGGCTTATTTGTGCTTTTAACTTTATCACACAAAACTACATTGTTTTTTCTGTCTACATAGCATGGCAGATGTATTCTGCTATACATCTCACCTCTGATTTACCTGCTAACAGTGCACCTATGGGAATAGATTTAGGCTTTTAAGGTGCCTATTAGTTTACCAAATGTTTTGAAACTGCAATTACTTAGGGAAAACAAAATATGAAGGAGCATTGTTTAAGATACTCCTAATTCTGATGGCTGGTTCAAGGTCTTTTTATGTAATTGAAAAATACCTAATGAGAAAATAAAGTTTGCATCACACCATGCTTCTAGTTAAGCCAAGTGCCAAAAAATACCTGTGTTAATGTCTCCTGAGATGTCATCAGAGTAGTTATCAATCACTTATCTTGGTGATTAATATTGTCCGGAAGGATATTAGGCAAAGTGGAGTTTATTGGAATAAATACAAATTCTAGAGGAACGGTGTGGAAGAATGAAAGAAATAAGAATGCAAGGGATTTTTCCTCCTAAACAAAGAGATTACATAAACAGTTTGTGAGACCTTTCTAAACCAAATTATTTTAGATAGGCATTCATCCTATCCCATCTCCCCCCAGCCCCCTAACCTACAACATTTACCTGGGGGACTTGGGATCATTTCAGAGTAGTACAGGGAAAGCTTAAGTTGACTTAGTGTATGATGTGTATATGTACATGTGACCATCTGTCTAGTTAACCTGACTCCTGATATTTTCATTGTCTTATAGATACGAAATGTGGAGACAAATCAGTGTCTAGACAATATGGCTAGAAAAGAGAATGAAAAAGTTGGAATTTTTAATTGTCATGGTATGGGAGGTAATCAGGTGAGTATCTTAGAAATAATTTTTAAATTTGTGTTTTACTTTGCCCTTTTTATCCCATGACATCATTCAGGAAATATTTTTATATCTTCAAGGAGAAAAAAATATATAGACCATTAGATAAAGGGAGCCTTCGATATTATTTTTTAAACAAAACATTTGCAAAAGGCTCCTTGTAAGAACTATATTGACATTGCTGGGCACAAGATTTATTTTGTTCTTTTTAAGTCTTAACCAGTTACCACCCCAACACCATATTCAGTGTATACAGAGAACTAAGGCCATTTTTACTTTCCTCTGTGTATATTTAACTGTAGCTTTTCTGAGTCATTTCATTCTCCGTTACTTTCATAAAGTGAAAAAATCGTGTATCTTGAAATACTTGGTTTTTTTCCCTGCCAGGTTTTTGGGTATCTAAAATGCTAAATAATTTCTTGTCACTGCTGAGGCTGATAGATATGCATTTTTGTTTTCCAGGTTTTCTCTTACACTGCCAACAAAGAAATTAGAACAGATGACCTTTGTTTGGACGTTTCTAAACTTAATGGCCCAGTTACCATGCTCAAATGCCACCACCTAAAGGGCAACCAACTCTGGGAGTATGACCCAGTGGTGAGTTACCTGGTTTCTTGTAGAAATAAAATAATTATAGTGTGTCATTGGCATTTTACATTATTTATTGCTACAGTTGTTAATATTACCTAATATGGTTAATACAGCCATGAGATGTGGCCTGAATATTCGGTTCCAGCTTGTCTCTTGGTGCATGCACTGTGTGGGTGTGGCTGGCCCATACACTGAAGGTAAATAACCGTGACACAGCCATTGTGAGAACCCAAGAATTTTAAAAATGGAAAAGCCTCCTATTTTTAAGTTGATTAGAAAATACCAGTGTATTAATAGGCAATATAAAACCTACTTATAGTAGCTTAAACAATTTGAGTTTTATTTTCTTATGTAAGTTTTGGAGGTAAGTGGTTTCTGGCATGGATTCAATGGCACTGTGAAGTTTGGCATAAGATAACATCTCAGCTTTTCCATGTGGCCATGATGGCTGCTTCAGCTCTCACTGTCACATCCCAACTCAAGGCAGAAAGAAAAGGAAAATGGGAATGTTTTATTACCACACATGTTGGAAAGAAAAAGCTTTTCCCGGAACCCTCTTAGCAAACTGTTTATTTCTTGTGGGACAGAAATGACCCTCAGCTGTAGGGAAGACTAGGAAAGCAAGCACTTGGTTTTTTGGTCTTTATAGTATGAGGTATGAAGTGACCAAGAGACAAAGCCAGTCTACACATGACACCACAACAGGCATTCCACTAGGAAATGTTAGATTGGAATGTAAGAAGCTGGAGATGGTTTAACGTATTTAGAAGGAATCAGTTATGAGTATAAACTTTTAAAACTTCTGGATCGTTTTGCAAAGTTGCCCTCCACCCCCCAAAATAAAATTTTAATGTGGCAGGTTTCTCCCAGAAGCAGATTCTGAGATAAGGTTTACTGTTGAGATGTACTAGGGAACACCTTTTGAATCATTACACATTTAAAAGGAAAGGGAGAAGACAAAATTGTGCAGAAAGAGAAGTCAAGCAAGAAAACTCATCCAACAGCCTGAGCCAACTATATAGAGCTTCATGCTTGCAAAGCAGGTACTCTACTGCTTGAGCTACACCTCCAGCCCTTTTTGCTCTGGTTATTTTGAAGATAGGGTCTCACTCTTTGCCTAGGTCCTCCTAATTTTGGCTTTCCTGTCGTCACTGGAATGATTGGCACAGCTACAACACCCAACTTTCTATCATTGAGATCTGGTCTCACAAACATTTTTCCCCGGGCTACACTGGAACTGCAGTTCTCAAATCTCAGCTTCTTCCATGCCTTGGGGTGACAGGCATGAACTGTTGTGCCCAGCTCTTGGTTGAGATGGGGTCTCACAACTTCTTGCCCTGGCTGACTTAAAACTGTGATCATCCCAATTTCAGCCTCCCAAGGATTACAGGTGTGAGCCACCAGTGCCTGGCTTGGTGCACTGTTTTTTATGAGTAGAAATTGAAGCCCAAAATGGAAATTAATTGAACATGGTCACAGAGCAGGTAGGTGATTAAAAAAAATGCATATCTTAGACCTGGGATTCTTGGTTCCTGATCCAAGATTGTTTGTACAATACCATACTGACTTTAATTAACTGTGTATATTCATATATATTTAAATCTTGTTTATATTATGTGCTGCATAAAAAATTTGACACCTAGCTCTTTTGCTATGACTGTTTGTAGGTGTTCCCATGTAGGTTAAGGCCCAGTTACATCTAGAAACTAGAGACAGGAGATGGGAAAATCATTTTTTCTGGTTGCAGATAGACTTTTTGCAATAATTATTAAAGCTCTTTACCCTCTCCTTCAAAGGTTACAGTTAGACTTTAATCAAGCTTTTTCTGTGTGGAGACCAGTCATTGTTGTTCAGGTCCTCTGCTGGTCCCATTGATGAAGAGCCCACAGCATGGCAGCCACAGAACTCTGTATCTCCTGCTGGCTGCCATAGTCCATGTCTCCTGGGGGCTATTCAGCTCCTGAGTTAGAGTAAGTCTGTTAAATACCCAGCATGGAGCACTAACCTACTTTGTTACAAGTTTTTTTGTTTTTGGTGATTCTGGAGTTTTAACTTAGGGCCTTATAAGCACACTACCACCTGACCCATGCTTCCAGTCCTTTGTACTTTTTTTTCTTTTTTCTTTTTTTTTAGGTAGAATCTGGTATTTTTTTTGCCCAGGCCAGCCTGGACCACAGTCCCCCTATCTGTGACCTCCCACATAGCTAGGACCACAGCCATTTTCCACCATGCCCAGCTTATTGGTTCAAATGGGGAGGTTTCTTTTAGCACTGACTGGCCTCAAACCACAATGAAGTAAGTTTTTGTCCCCTTTTTTAGATTAGGAAACTGGATCTGAGATTAAGCTTTGCTCAGGAGCACATAGTTGATATATGAAAAATATGGAGTTCATTCCAAAATTGCCTAGGTACAAAGCCAATCCTCTCAACCAATAAATTACACAGCATCTGCACACAAAAAATTAAAATAACCACAGTCATACTGATTCTTCCAGGTTCATTTCTTAAGCATTTGTAAGTTGATAATACTGAGCCTAAAGTCAGTGTGGACAGACAGTCATTTGCCAGTTCTCACTTGACCACAACACAGAATTATAAGTGACTAGAAGCCAATATAGTTGTATGGAATCATTAGGTTTTGTTTTAAGTTAACATACATCAAAAGAGGCCTCATGAAAATTAGATATGGCTCTGTTGTAATATTCTGTTTTCTAGAACGAGTCAAGGAATCAGATAAATGTGTGTTCATTAACATTCCACATTTCCTTGAAGTTATTTTAACTGATTAGATAGCACTTTAGTCTTATTCCTGCACAACTACTTTGAAGACCTTAATGTGCCCAGAACACATCAGATTGTTTAGTAGGATCATTATAACTATGTATCTGTTAATTCTCGTCTGTCCTGCCAATCTGAAATTATCCTGAAAATCAACATGACAGCATCAAATCTAGAAAGTATAAATGAGTTATTTAGGAAAATATGTAGCTGTGTCCATCAGCCATTTATTAAGAACCTCCTTAATGAGTAAGGCACTGCATACTTGAATTTCACTACCCAACAGAATCTTCTCAAAGCATGTATTGTGATCTTCATTGTAAAAATGAGAAATTAACCCTATGGACTCTGTCTAACTCCAAGTTCCTGTGCTCTTCTACGCCCTACCACCTCCCTCTATCACCAGGATAACCTCTCTGGATTTGATGCAGATGTAGACTTAAGATTGCTTGCATCAAATCCCAACCATCTCAACATTCTTACAGCTTTGAGTCTGCAGAAGGACCTGGGTTCTTCTAAAAAAAAAAAAAAAAAAAAAAACAAGACATTTGGAATCACAGAACTTGAACAGCCTGATCACAGGGAAATGAAAAAACCCTGTTTGGAAATAGGTTGGAGGATCCTAAATTAAGAACCACTAATTTGTTCCATAATCTGATTTTTTACTTTTCTTTGCTTTTCTTTTCAGAAACTGAAGCACCAAAAGAGAGAGAGAGAGAGTTACAGAGCTTATGTCAAAAATTAGTGCTCAAAATTTAGATCATCTTACTACACATCCAGTGTACCCTATTGTACCCCCTCCCTTTTCCCTCCCACATAGCTGTTAATGCTATCTTTGTTTATATGTGTGTGTGTATACATACATATATATATATATACTTTTCTCCAGTGTCTTAAATAATTTATATTGCCCACCCAAAAAAAATCAGTTCCACAGGGTGAGGAATCCTCAAAAAGATGGCTGAGGGTTTTTTTTTCCTCCTTGATGTTAAGATTTTTTTTTTTTTCACTTTCAGAAATTAACCCTGCAGCATGTGAACAGTAATCAGTGCCTGGATAAAGCCACAGAAGAGGATAGCCAGGTGCCCAGCATCAGAGACTGCAATGGAAGCCGGTCCCAGCAGTGGCTTCTTAGAAACGTCACCCTTCCAGAAATATTCTGAGACCAAATTTATAGAAAAAATTAAGAATTGACTGGGCTACCTCAGCATACATTTCTGCCACATTCTTAAGTAGCAAAAAAGGAAAGTGCTTTCCTCCTCTGCGGGATGTAAGGTTTATCAGCCACTAAAACTTAGACTCTTTTAGCTTTTCACTAGCTGTGAACCAGCCTTCCTGTCCAAGGACGTGAAACTGCATAGGAGTGAGACTGCACACTGATGTTTACAAGATTGAAAGCGTTTTTCATCAGGAGTCGTGGGAAAGAATATCCAGACAATTGAACAGTCAACAAAATGTGCTTTCTGGAGAGTGCCACCTTCTAAGGTTTGCCTGCACATCAGTAATTTCTGCTGAATGTGCTGTCATAAGGAAAAGATTTCAACAATTAAAAAAAAACTATTAAACAGGGTTTAAAGGAAATTAAAACAGAACTATGAGAAAGAAGTACAATTTGTTATAGTATAGTATCAAATTTCTATATAGATTTTATACCTCAGTGGGGAAAAATAACTGATTCCAATGACATTCATTTTGTTTTCATCTGTGATAGTCATGGATGCTTTTATTTTCCTTGGGGTGCTGAAAATGAGCTGGGAAAAAAGCTCTTCGAACATAGTTTTAATTTCTTTCTATAATATTTTCATTTGGTTTGTGGGCTGTTGAAATTGTAATTTTTAATTACCTTCTAAAAATGGAGATTTAACATAATCTCTGATCTCAACTGAACCAGTTCGGTATCTCAGTTGCTCTTGGGTCAACTGGCTTATAGACTTGCGCACACAGACACACACACACACACACACATGCGCACACGCACGCACACATGCACACACACATATGTACACGCACATACAAATTTCTTACCACATTTTCACCTTCTTAACTTCATTCACCGATTATGCTTAATACCCAAGATTCATACTACTGTCCTACAGATTTGTCTTCTCAGCAATAAATCTTGAGTTCAGTTCCTTGTTTATGATTCCATTTAACAAAAGGCTTACAAGGGATGGTTTATTTTTTGGAGATTTGGAGATAATATATGATGGTTTTGAAACCGTTTTCACTCCATACGCAGGTGTGCTTCATTGTCAAGTGCATAGTTAGACTAGATTCTTGAATTGTAACATTGATCTGCTGCTTTTTTTTTTAAATAAAATTTGACTGAAAATGTTTAATTGGCATTTCTTAATGAGTTAGTCAAAGAAGTGCAGCTGTTATTCCATATTGTCCTGCATTTCTTCCCTAAATTCCATTTGGGTTAAATTGATTTGTTTTTCTCTGATTATTTTAATATCAAAAAATAAAATAAAAAAGAACTCCTGAATATCAATTAAAAGTCAGTGTCCATTACAAGATAATTTTTTAATCTCATAAAAAATCTTGGGACATTTTTCACCAATAGCTAAAGCAATCCACTGGCAAAAATGCATGTATTCTCCTTCTCGTTTGTTAGATTGTATTTAATGGTATTCTTTTCTTCGGTTATCAGAGACTCTCACTGCAGGCAGTGCTATTTCTTGTGCCCAAGAATGTTTCTGAAAGTTACATCATTTAATGATTCTTGCCAACTTGAGCATACACAGTTTCTCATATCCTATTCAAGTTAATCAACGTCAAGCACATGAATGCTTTAGGGTGAGGCTATCATGCAGAGTTCAAGAACTGTCCCTGGGAGATTCAAAATCATGCAGGTGCTGGGTGGAATTTTATTTCCTACTCTGTGAGTTGTGTTAATTCTATTCAGTAGGCCTAATGCTTGAATAAATTGGTTATCTAATCAATAAATTATTTTCATGCTCAGAACTTCAAGTTTTTGTATTCCAGCATAGCTTGGTCTTATTCATTATTGTAAGAAAGTTTTAACAGCATTGTAAATTAAGGTTTTGTTTTTTAAGTGGGTATGTGAAGTGATTTAATTCATGGGTACTTTTCAAACCTGATAGATAATCCCATTGCCTTTATTTTTCTAATTAAAATATTCCTAAATATTTGTAAAATATAAACTATTCCTCAGTAGTTGTGCCTTACATTGGTTTTATTTGAAGTTAAAATGGATCTCTTTACATCATAGTTATTTTTAGATTAGGCAGATGCTGATCTCTATTGTAAAAATAAAATTAAGAGGAAAAGGAAAAAAAGATGAATATATAGAATTATTATTTGACCAATGAAGAATCCATAAGTGTGACAATTAAAGATCATTTGAGTCCCACGAATCAACTCCCCCATCTCAGTCACAGTCCATTTTAATGTGTTTCTCTGTCCTACTTGGTATTCTTGAGAAATACTACTTGTTCACTATTCTATAAACGAAGGATAGCACGTAGCCCATGTCCTCATTTCCCCTGTTCTCCATTTAACTGAAAAATGGATTCTTTCTCTGTAAGGATTTGTTGCATTTCTTGTCTTCCAAAAAGTATACCAAAGCAAATTTAGCTTCTTAATTAACATGTTCTTCAAAGAAGAAAGAAATTCAGAAGGTAGCATTTCCAAAGTGGTAACTGTAAGAGGCTGAATACAAAGAGCAAATTCCTTTTTATGCTGTTTGAAAAATTATGTTTCCAATTATATGGTATTTCCTCCATTTACTGATTTCTTGAAGATTACCAAGCACTTGCTTAATAAATCTATCAGAACCATTTTTTTTCAGGCTATGAGGCAGATACACAAAACTCAACTGTGTGTCTTAGCAATAAACACTTGAAGTTAAATTTGTAGATAACCATTTATAATACTATTAAATAAGTCATCTACCTAGGAATAAAGTTGTGCAAGACAAAACTTTTCAGGGTGTAAGACCTCTCCCTGAAACTACAAAATGGTGCTGAAAAAATGTGCCAAACAATAGGTATTCTCATTGATTGAAAGATTGTTAAGATACTGGTTTCCTACAAGTTCAATGAAATCAAAATCCCACAAGGTTTTCTTGTAGAAATTGACAGATTTACATGGAAACCCGGTAGATGCAGAATAGACAAGATAATACTGAAGAACAAAAATAAAATTGGAGGACTTACACTCTCCAGTTTCAAGACTTGCTCTAAAGCTACAGTGATTAAGAGAGGAGTAGTACATAAACAAATAGATCCATAAATAGAAGAGTCCTTGTCAACAAAAGCAAGCAATTCAGTAAGAAAGTGAAAGTTTTTCCAATTGAAACAGCAGTGTTCTGTTTTTTGTTTGTTTTTTCAAACCAGCTAATTCATAACCCCTGAGGGAAAGCCTAAAGGATAACACCTATGAACCTTAAAGGCACAGTCCCACAGAACCTCTAGCCTGCAACCCCTCTAGTTGAATTTGTTGTCTCCAGACTTCCTGACAGCGTATTGTAGTCATCCCTAACTCTTCTGGGACCTGTGAATAATACATTTCTGTCTGTCGAATTTTGGTTCTACTTCCTTTTTGTATCTCACCTGACACACACATCTGAACCTGATTTACCCCACTCAGAGTTGTCTTAGAAAGTGGTGACTTTGGCTTATGGCCACTGCTAACAAAAAGACCTCGAGACCAAATTAGAAACCATAACAATGGAGGTCCCCAATGTAATATTCCCCAAATTGATCTACAAGTTCAAAGCAATCCTTATCAGAATATTCCATGTGTCTTTTGGGAGCAGAAACTGACCAGTTAATCCTGAATTCATATAGAAAATTATGGTGTCCACAGAGTAGCCAAAACAGTCTGGGGGAGGGAGAAGCAGTACTCTACAGGGCCTGATTTGCTCCCTGACGTTACTGGCAGGTCACAGATTAACTACAGTAATTAAGACAGTGTTGTACTGGTGTAATGATAGAGGTCAGTTGAACAGAATTAAAAGTCCAGAAATAACCCCTTACAGTGTGGCCAATTGATTTTCAACAAGAGTGTCAAAAACATTAATGGAATCATCTTTTCAACCAGTGGTGATGGGACAACTAAGTATCTATATGTGAAGTTGTACCACTATACCACACCAAGTATCATGCAAAAATTTAAATGGGAAACCCAGTGCAGTGGCTCACAATTATAGTCCTAGCTACATATACTTTGAGAGTGTGGATATTTCCCTCTGGCCAATGTTAGATTCCCCCTAGAGATCGGGAAATCATGGTTTGAGGCTAGTCCAGGCAAAAAGTTCTTGAAACCCCCATCTCAGTCAATGGCTGGGCACCGTGTTACATGCCTGTGACCCCAGCTACATTAGGAAGGACAAATAGAAGCACCTCAGGTGGGCTCAAACATAAATCGAGACCCTATCTCCAAAATAACCAAAACAAGACTGGGCACCAGTGGCTAATGTCTGTAATCCTAACTACTTGAGAGGCTAGTATCAGGAGGATCATGGTTTGAGGCCATCCCAGGCAAACAGACCTCGAGACCCTATCACTAAAATAACCACAGCAAAACAGAAAGCCCTGAGTTCATACCCCAGTCCCACCAAAACCAAAATAAATAATCACAGCAAGCTGGGCACCAGTCCCTCATTCCTGTAATCCTAGCTACTCAGAAGGCAGAGCTAGGAGGATCAAAATTTGAGGCCAACTAGGACAAAATGAATGTGAGACCCCATCTCAAAGCATAAAAAGGGGTGGTGGAGTGATGCAAATGGTAGAACATCTACGTAGCAGGAATGAAACGCTTGAGTTCAAACAAGTAGCAGAAAAACATTCTTAAAATGTTGGCATAGTCCTTCTTGACTTTGAATTATGTAGGGGTTTCTTCTAAAACCTAAAAACATGAGCAATATTTTTTAAATTGGAATCATCAAAACTTCTTTTTAGTTTATGCTTTTCTTTATTCCTAGCATCAAGAGTTTTAACCCAATTTAATTTTATATTTGTTTTATTGTACAGGAGGTACACTGACATTTACAAAAACTGACAGTTTTTGCATCTTAAATTCATTAAATAGATTAGCCTGTAATTCTCTTTTTTTGTTGTGTCCTTGTCTGGTTTTAGGATGAGTGTAATACTGGCTTCATGGAATGATTGTGGCAGTGTTTCTTCTCTATTTCATGGAAAAGTTTGAGGAGTGTTGGTGTTAGGTCTTCTTTAAAGGTCTTGTAGAATTCAGCAGTGCATCAGTCAGGTCCTGGACTTTTCTTTTTTGGGAGACTCTTTATTGCTGCTTCAGTTTCATTGCTTGTTATAGATCTGTTAGATTATTTATATTCTCTTGGTTCAATTTTGGTTGGTCATATGCATCTAGAAATTTGTCCATTTCCTCTAGATTTTCCAATTTATTTGAATATAGGTTTTCAAAGTAATCCTAGTGATTCCTGGATTTCCTTGGTATTTATTGTTATCTACCCTTTTTCATTTCCAATTTTATTAATTGGGGTATTTTCTCTCCTCACTTTAATCAGATTTGCCAGGGGTTTATCAACTTTATTTATCTTTTTGAAGAACCAGCTTTTTGTTTCATTGGTTCTTTGTAATTTTTTTGTCTCTATTTCATTGATTTTGGCTCTTGTTTTTATTTCTCTCCTTCTGCTGGTTTTCATCAAAACTTAAAACTTAGGTGCTTCAAAGTATAACACCAGGTATGTAGCTCAATGTTAAAATATTTGCCTAGCATTTGTGAGGCACTCAGAGCAAAGCAAAGAACACCATCTCACAGAACAAGCAAAATAAAGGTAATCATATCTGATAGGGAACTTATATCAGACCGTTTTTTTAAATGGGCAAAGGGTTTGAATAGGCATTTTCCAAAGAAGACGTAGAAATGGCCAATAAGGATATGAAAAGGCACCAATGTTAAAAATGCAGGGCTATTTATAATTGCTTGAAAATCTAAATCTAAAAACACACATGTATAGAACTTTTATGATAAAACTACACAGTGCAAAGGAAATAAAGATCTAAATTAATGGAGAGACATACCATGTAATAGATTAGCAGATGCAACATAGTAAAGATGTCAAGTTTTCCTAATGCAATTGATACATGGACCTAATGCAATTTCTATCCAAATCTCAGCAAGATTTTTTATAGATAAGATTATTCTACAATTTATATAGAAAGTAAGAGATAGAAGAGTGGTGACAATTTTTTAAAAGAATAAAGTGGAAGGAATCAGTCTACCCCACTTCAAATTTATACAGAATAGAGAGCCCAGTAATAAACTCATGTATGTGGACAAAGGATCTCCTACAAGGGAGCCAAGACCACTCAATGGGGAAAAGAAAATCTCTCCAACAAAAGATACTGGGAAACTATAACCACGTGCAAAAGAATGAAATAAAAATAAAAATTAACTCAAAATAGATTAATGTTCTAAATGTAAGACTTAAAATTAGAAAACTCCTGCAGGAATACATAGGTGACGATTTCATGATACTATATTTGGCAATGACTTCTTAGATGTTATACCATGAGCATGGGCAACCAAAGCAAAACTAGACAGATGGGACTGCATTAAACACAAAAATTTCTGTGCATCAAAGGACTTGGGGTGAAAGCAACCCATAGTTTGGGAGGAAATATTTACAGATCATATCTGAAAAGGGGTAATTATCCTGAATGTTTAAAGAAGTCCTATAATGCAGCAACAAAAGCTCAAATAGAGTAAAATAGATTTTTTTAAATGTCCTGCTGTAATATAACTGAAGCTTGACATTATGCAATGTGAAGTAAGCCAGTGACAAAATACTGTTTTGATTCCACTTAAGTCAAATTCATAGAAAGTAGAATGATGACTAATAGAAGCTGAAGGGAGCGGGGAGAAAGGAGTTGTTTAGCAGACACAGTTTCAAGTGTGTAAATTGGAAACATTCTGAAGATTTGTTTCAAGCAATGTAAAAATACTTAATACTACTGAACTGTACACTTAAAATGATTGAGATAGGAAATTTTACGCTGAGAGTTTTGTACTGCAGTTTTTAGGAAAGGCATGATGTGTTTATGCATGCTACAACATGAATGTACTTTAAGAAAATGCTACATGAAGCCAGACACATACTGCATGATCCCTCTATATGAAATACTCAAAACGGAAATCTATGGAGACCAAAACAGATTAGTAGTTGGCAGGGCCTTTGGGAAAGAGGAAATGAGGGATACTGTAAATGGCTCAGGATTTATT